GAAATAATCTGTTAATTTCCTGGTTCTCAATCTCTGTTCATGATCTATTGCCAAATTAATTGATTAAATATGTTTCTAATTGATATCATTAAAACTTTAGCTCTTCATGTTTTCCTTTTGAATTAATAGATTAAATCTTCGATTCAACCGATTCATTTTATTTTTGATAATCTACTTCTATATCATTAATTGAAAATTAATTGATTATATGGTAAATCAATTGATTAATTTTTCTAGGGCTAGTATTGTATGCTTTGATTCTGATTATTTACTGCAGGATGAGTTAAGTGCATTTGCAACTACAAACAACTTTAGCTACTCTCATAAATGTAATGGTTATCCAAATTCACGCTAGAAGACTGTGATTGGAAATCAGAGATGAAGAAATCTTGATTGATACAGGTAATCAAGTAAATTACAGTACCCATTGTTCTCTCTCTGTCTTTTCCATCTCTGACACAGGGCACAGAACTGAGGTAATTTACTAAAAGACAAATTTGACTATTCAAAGTAGTTGAAGAGTCAGGTTTCTCACATTCCTTTTAGTATGCATTAGTTGTTCCAAAGACTTTGTATTCACTCTTGGAAAAATATTCTCTCTTTTCTGTATTTGGTTCACCTCTCAAACATCATGTTCAAGCGCACCAAATTTGGAAGGAGGAAGTTCAGCAGAGGAGAATCCTCAGCTGCTGTCCAAGAAACATCACGAGGAGGGCGCATTGAAACCTAGTTCAATGGGAACCAAGAGAAGATGGGGTTATTCATTCATGAAATGAGCTGAAAATAGATTAATATTCCCAAGATTCTGAAATTCTCATGGTTGGACGCTGAAGGGTTCAAAGGGGTGCGAAAACTGTTGCAACACTAGAAACTTCAGTAGTTCCTAGAGCTCAATGGTAGAATCTTGTAAGAATTAATGGTTGAGTTCAAGAGGGGGGGTGAATTGAACTTTAGAAAACTTTTTTCGCAAAACACACTTTCTTTGGGAAGAATGATTTATCTTTATTCAATTCTTCTATAGGTAGATTTGATTTTAATTACAACAAGAATATGAACAAGAAATAAAAGAGATGAAAGCAGAAAATCAACACAAAAGTTTATACTGGTTCACTCTTTACCAGAGCTACATCCAGTTCTTGACAAATCTGCCAAGTTCCACTAATTCCAAGTGAAAATTACAACCAGTAGATATTCACCAATCTACCCCAAGAACTATCTCACAAACCCACAAGATAGACTCTTGAAAACCTCCCAGTAACCAAATCCAGTTACTGTAACCAGTGTAGATCCAACACCCAATCTACACAATCACACTTTATACAAGAATATGAAAAGAAAAAACTTGGACTACAACTTTAATAGTATAGATGTCCAGAAGCAATTCTAACTCAGAACTTTCTCTCTTTGATGAACAACAATATTGATCAAAGCACCTTATGATATGAAAAGTTTTTGAATGCACAAAGAAAGTCACGGATATGATAACTCTAAGATTGCTTTCAAATGTTTTCTCAAATTGTATTTTTCAAAAGATAGATCAAACCTGTATTTATAGAATAAAAGAAGGAACCAGAATGTTTAAAGCTGATAAAAGCTGATTCGAGTAGCAAATGATCGATCAGAATAATAGTATGACAGGTTAGAATCAGTTATGATCGATTAGAATAGCATTATGACCGATCAGAACTAGTTATGATCAATCAGAATCACATTATGATTGATCAGAATTCTTTTCAATCGATTAAAACGATATTTCAATCGATTGATTTTATTTAAAACTTCATTCAATCGATTAATTCGTGTTTTCAATGGATTGAAGTAGCTTAGAAAAAAAATGATAGCTCTCTGTTTCAACAGATTAAAAAACATTTCAATAGATTGAAATCCTATGAACTCTTAGACTGAAAAAATGGTCTCTCTGTTTCAACAGATTAAAAAACATTTCAACAGATTGAAAATGCGAAACCTTTAATATTTGAAAAAATCATTAAGAACATTTTTAACCTGTTGATTCTGCGATTCAACCAATTGATATTTCGACTACAAATCAACACTTCTTATGTTAAGTGATTTTAACAGATTGAAAACTCTTTTTCAACAGATTGAAAAACTTAGTTTGTTCTTTTAATGCTTAAAGGTTAGTTTTTCATGCAGAAAAATGAGTTCAATGAGATGCATCATTTCAAGGCGCTTATCATAAGATCTATTGGCCTATCAAGAGATTAAGTTTTAAACTTCTAACCTATTCATCTACACACCCACAAACTAAACTATATCAACTCAATATGTCTTCATCAAATCCAACAAGTGCTTCAAATCTATCCTGATCTTATCAAAGTTTTCTTTACTAACTTGTCATTTGAAGGTTCTACACTTAAAACTCAAGTCAAAGGAGTGGATATTGAGATTACTCCCACTGTGTGGAAAAATGTTGCTGGACTCAAGGATGAAGGGGTAAAAGTCACTAAAGGGTATACCTCTGATGTAGAAGAATTCAACAAAGTTCAATATTTTCGTTCTTATTTAAGAAATAAGCGTGATTTTGTGAGTTCCTTTAACACTGGGAAGCTTAACCTTTAAGAAAGAGTACTTGCATTCATAGTGGCCTGGCAGCTTACTCCCAGGGGGAGCAATCATGCAGTACTGAATGAAGGTGACTTGGTACTGATGTATTGTATCCACCACAGAATCAGAGTAAACTAGGTATTTGTTATCAAGGACCATATGATCAAAGCAAAAAGGCTAAGTGATTTTAGATTGATGGTGATTGGATTTCAAAAGAAGAAGCTGGGAGAGGTGAAGAAGAAGGAGAAGAGGAAGACGATGAGAATACTGGTGCTCCAAGTGCTACTGAAGCAAGACAAATAGATCCCATCGAAGATGTTATGGCTCAGCAGTCTCCATTAGAAATGATTCCTTATGTGGCACCACCTGACCGTGGCACACCTCTTTCTCAGTTTGAAAGGACTATGCTGCACCAAATGAATGAAATTCAAACTAATCAAAGGAGGCACATGGAGATGACATATTCTTTGCAAGCTCGCTAACATCGGCTTTATGAAGACTCCATTGCCAGATTTCAGCACATTGATAATCAACTGGATGATATCTTCAACAGAATTGGAGACCTCCAATTCAATCAGGGTCCCTGGGATGGTGATGAGTGAAATTTTTTTAGAAGCTTTATTTTACTTATGTTTTTGTCAGTTTTATTTGTTTTAATTTTGGGTACCTGAATGGTACTTATGGCATGTATATGAACACTTTTTGATGAAGTTAAATAGGGGGAGAAGTATTGGCTTTATGCTGTCACTACACACGCACATCACAAAATCATATGTCTCTGTTATTGTTTTTTTATGCAGGTGTGGTGGTTATTTGTCTCCATCAAATAGGGGGAGATTGAAGCACTTGTTGGATTTGATGAAGACATATAGAGTTTATAAAGTTTATTTTGTGGGTGTGTAGGTAGATAGGTTATAGGTTTAGAATTTAATCTCTTGATAATTTCAGTATATCTTGTGATAAGCACCTATAACTGTTGCATTTCATAGAATTTATCTTACTGCATGAAAAACCAATCTTTAAGCCTTGAAAGAACACACTGAGTTTTTTAATCTGTTAAAAAGCAGTTTTAATCTGTTAAAATCACTAAGAAAAGGAAATGTATATAATACAACCAATATTTTAATTGATTTAATCGTAGAATCAATAGATTAAAATGTTCTTGATGGTTTTTCCATATTAAGGGTTTCGCAGTATTAATCTATTGAATTGATAAATCAATAGATTAAAATGTTCTAAGCCATTCTTCATTTTAAGGTATCTCAGAATTTTAATCTGTTGAAATCAAGTTCAATCTGTTGAAACAGAGAGATATCATTTTTCATTTTAAAGTATCTCAGATTTTTAATATGTTGAAATAAATTTTAATCTGTTGAAACAGAGAGATATCATTTTTCATTTTAAAGTATCTTAGATTTTTTTAATCTGTTGAAACAGAGAGCTACCATTTTTCTTCTAACTATTTCAATCCAATAAAAGCTCGAATTAACTGATTGAAAGAGTTTTAAATAAAATCAATCGATTAAAAAACCATTTTAAATCGATTAAAACTGTCAGTTTTTTCTCTTTTACTCTATAAATACAGTTTTGATTTCTCTTTTAAAAACACAATTTGGAAATCGATTAAAAGCAATCTTGGAGCTCTCATATTCGTGTGATTTTCTGAGCATTCATACACATTTCATATCATAAGGCGTTTTTGATCAAGATTGTTGAAAGATCTTCAAGAGAGAAAGTTCTGAGTTAGAAAAATTTCTTCTGGACTTCTATATTGTAAAAGTTGCAGTCCAGGTTTATTCTTTTCATATACTTGTATGAATTCTAATTGTGTAGATTGGGTTTGAGTCTGCACTGGTTACAACAACTGGGTTTGGTTGCTGGGTGGTTTTTCAAAAGTCTATCTTGTGGTTTTGTAAGGTAGATCTTGGGGTGGATTGGTGTGTATCTACTGGTTTGTATTTTCACTTAGTATTAGTGGAACTTGATAGATTTGTCAAGAACTGGATGTAGCTCTTGGGAAGAGTGAACCAATATAAACTCTTGTGTTGTATTTCTGCATTTATCTCTTTTCATTTCTGGTTTATATTCTTGCTTTGTTTAAAACCATATCTGCCTAATAAAAGATTGGATACAGATTAATCATTCTTCCACAAAGAATTGTGATTACCTACACCACAAATCTGTATGTAAGCAAGAAAATCCGTAGATAAATTTAGATTACCTACGAATTACCTACGGACAAAAATTCGTAGGTAAATCCCTCGTAGGTAATAATTACCTACGAATTTTCAATATCTATAGGTAATTACCTACGGATATATCCGTAGGTAATATCCGCAGGTAATTACCTACGGATGTATTCGTATGTAATTACCTATGGATATTACATACGAATATATCCGCATGTAATTACCTACGAATATATCTGTAGGTAATTACCTGTGTATATATCCGTAGGTAATTGAAGTATCTAATACTCTCCATTCTTTTTGCATTATTCTGATTGCATTGACCTGGACATTAAATGATATATAAAATTATCTAGATACACAAGTTCATAACCAGAAAAAATAAAATGATATATAAAATAACATAACAATTTATTGTTCCAATACAAAATAAAAACATCAAATATATCCAAATATAATGAAACATATCCAATAGAATTTCGTAAAATGTTAATAATCCATATAATCATCATCTGTATCCTTCTGTTGATCTTGATTTTGTTGTTTTGTATTTGGTTCTGCAACCTTCTCTTGATCTTTATTGTCTTGATTAATTGGTTGTTGCAAAATGTTTTGTGCTGCCGCTGCTGCTGGAGGTGGTAAGTATTGAAGGACTGTGCCAATGAATGCCTGGATGGACTCGAACTGGGAGTTCATCATACGAATCTTTTCCTCACTACTTTCCAATCGCTACTCACTACTTTCCAGTCATTGTGTCAGTTGACTATTTTTTTGTGAATCAGCTTTCTAACTGGACCACGCTTCTGTTTGTTGTAGATAACTTTCAACACAATCATCACTAGAGTCAACATGACCAACTCCATACACGCGTCCCTTATACCTTCCTCCTGCAGCCTCTAACCAACATCTATTCCTTAGCCTTTCCTCTTCAACAGGGTCTAGGGGAGTGCATTGTGAAGCACCCACATTAGAAGTTGACTCAGACAATACTCGAGAATATCTACTCTCAAAGTCTTCCTATTCAAACAAGACAATTTGTACATGTGTCTTTTATATAATAAAAAACTTTAAGATTTAATGAACGAAACTCAATGTGTCCGCGTAGACCTATCATCGACGAATTCGCCAGTACTCTTTCTTATATGCGTTTGTTGAAAAACTTCATCCACATGGACTAAGCGACCGAGCTCCTCTGTCTAAATAAAAAAAAACATAAAATATGTCTATACCAAATAATTGTTACATCATAAATGAATGATAAAAAATATTTAAAATTTCACACCAAATGAATGGCGTGTTCGTGCACACTAATTGATCTGCCAGTGTGCAAACTTCCCCCTTTATCGGATGCCTGATTTTTCTTTGCTGTATCACATTTTGATCGACATAGAGGCATGTTCCACTGTTCCAAGAGGTTGTTCCATATATTATTTCCAATCCAATCAGGCTTCTTGCCTGCTCTTCTAGCCTCTTTAAACTGAAAGTAATGAAGATCTTATTGAATCTTTTAGATGAAGATCTTGTTGATTTGATGAAGTCAAAATGAAGTCAAAGGCTATTCTGTTGCAGTCAAAGGCTATTCTGTTGCAGTCAAAGGTCACTTAGATAAAAGGGTAGAGTGTTTAGTGAGTCTGCATCTTTACTTAGGTATAATCATTCTTATCTCTCTACTGCATGAGGTTTCTTCATTTAAAAGATTTTGCAAAAGCCTCTAAAATGTGTTTAATCTGTTAAAAACAAAGTATTTTGCTAAATGGTTTTTAAGTAACTATTTTAACTGATATTATATGAGCTTTATCAGTTAAAATGTTCTTAACACTTTTGTAATAGGTTTTTAACTGATATGTTTTCGAAATAATCGATTATTTTCATTAGAAGTGTTTTTGAAAACCTTCTGCCAGTATTTTAACTAATGTAGAATTGAAATAACCGATTAAAATGACTTAAGTTGTTTTGAAAAGTGTTCTGGAAGAATTTTAATCGATACAAACTCGAAATAATCGATTAAAATAACTTGAAGTATTTTTAAAGATGTTCTGTCAGTATTTTAATCGATACAAATGCGAAATAATCGATTAAAACAACTAAGAGATTTTTCCAGATCGTTTTAAATCGATTAAAACAAGTATGTTATCAGTTAAAATTGAAAGTGATGAAGATCTTATTGAATTACTTTGGCAAAGATCTTGTTGATTTGATGAAGACAAAAATGAAGTCAAAGGCTACTTTGTGGCAGTCAAAGGTCACTTAGATAAAAGAGTAGAGGGATTAGTAAGTCTGCATCTTTTGCTTAGGTATAATCATTTTTATCTTTCTACTGCATGAGGTTTCTTCATTTAAAAGATTTTGCAAAATGCCTCTAAAAATGTTTTAACAGTTAAAAACAAAGTATTTTTTTAAAAGGTTTTTAATCAACTATTTTAACTAATAGCTTACAAGCTTTATCAACTAAAATGTTCTTAATACTTTTGTAACAGGTTTTTTTAATTGATATGTTTTCGAAATAATCGATTGTTTTCATTAAAGGAAGTTTTGAAAACCTTCTGTCAGTATTTTAACTGATATAGTTTCGAAATAACTGATTAAAATAACTTAAAATAATCAGGGAAGTGTTCTGGCAGTATTTTAATCGATACAGAATGGGTTTATGATCGATCAGAACCAGCATATGATCGATCAGAGTGTGTTTGTGATCGATCATAATATTTTCAATCGATTAAACTGCGTTTCAATCAATTAAAACAATTTAAGAAAATTTCTGCTAAGCGTTTTAATCGATTGAAATAGATTTTATTAGTTAAAATCACTTGGAAAAGTTTATAAGAATATTTTGCAGTATTTTAATCGATTAAAAGACAAAACAATCGATTAAAACAAAATAGAAGATTTTTACAAAGAGTTTTAATTGATATAAACGTTGTCGTATCAGTTAAAACAAATTTGGAAAATAATCAAGAACGTTTTAATAGATTTAAAGAAGTTTTAACAAATTAAAACAAGACTTTTAACAGATTAAAAGATTATTTTAAAAAATTAATTAAACCAGCAGTTTTGAAAATCTTCTATATAAACAGAGTTGTTTAACCTTTTTGAAACACATCTTTAAGCAATCAAACAAGTAATCATAAGTGCTACTTTCAAGAAAGAATTACGCTAGTTTTTGTGAAATTCATTGAAGTTCTTTCTTGAGGCAAAATTGCATTCTTTTGGAGAAGAAACACATACTGCAGAACTACATAAAACTGGTTTGAGCGTTCTTAGTTTCTTCTACTTGTTTCTTTACTTTCTTTTACTGTATTGTGGGTGCCTGGAATTGTGGGCACTGGTTTCTGTAGCTGGAATTTGGTTGCAGGGTTGATCAAGAATTGGAATTTGGTTCTTGGTGTAAGGTTTAGGTGTAGGAACTGGAATTGTGGTTCTTGTGGTAGATTGAGTGTGAGATTAAGGTTGTAATCTGTAAAACATTCAATCTAGTGGAACCCAGCTGGAATTTGGCTGGAGACTAGACGTAGCCCTGGGATTGGGTGAACCAGTATAAACCTTGGTGATATCTTTCTAAACCTTTCTCTTCTTTAATTCTGTGACTGCATTTATTTTTGATTGCTTGCTGTAATTCAAGAATTGGTCAGATTTCTTAATCTTTGAAATAGATAATCTGTTAATTGTGAAAAACTTTCAAAGATCAATTCACCCCCCCCCCTCTTGATCTCAGCCTACATTCCTAACAATTGGTATCAGAGCAAGGTTCTTGAGAATTATTCAAGTCTTTCGATCCATGGCTGGAAATAAATTTTCTGAGGATGCTTGTATTGATAGACCTCCACTGTTTTGTGGAACAGATTATCCATTTTGGAAGATTAGGATGAAGATCTTTATTGAATCTGTTGGTATAAATGTTTGGAATATTATTAAATAAGGAACTTATGTTTCTAACAAAGATTGGTCTAGCTTAAATGATTGTGAAAAGAAATTAAATCAAGATGATTGTATTTCCAAAAATATCATCATATCTGCACTTAACAAAGATGATTTTTTCAGGATAGCACATTATCAAACTGTTGCACAAATGTGGAAGACCCTTGAAATGACCTATGAAGAAACAGCAGAGATATGCTTGATGGTAAACTCGGATTCGCCAATAACCAGTGTAAGTTTTGACTCAACAACTACTATGAATTATAGTTCATTACAAGATGCTTTTTATGAAATGCATGCAGTAGCTAAAATATTAGAAACTGAAAACAAAAGATTAAAAAGCATAAATAGTTTATTGGAAAAAAAAGATCACTATTCTTGAAAAGAAAATAGTTGATGAAGAAACCAAGAATGAAAATTTAGAAATAGGTAATAACTTTGATTGCATGTGTAATGTTAAAGATTGTAAAAATTGTCCTAAGTTACAAGAGAAATTAACATATTTAATAAAAACTGCATCTAAACTTGCACAAGGAAAAACTAGTCTTGATATGATACTTGACTCTTAAAAATTGGTTATTGATCGTGGTGGTATAGGTTTTACACCTTCTATTGGAAAGAAAACTAGAGCATTTGAAAATTATTTTGCATATAGTAAATCTATGTCATCTCCATTTATTAAATAATTTTACTGCATGAAAAAAGGTCATTCTGTGAAATATTGTAGAATTAGGAAATATGTTATTCCTAAAGGTAGAATGAAGTGGATACCCAAAAATTCATTTCAAATAACATGATTGGACCCAGTAATTAAAAAGGGGTACTAGAAATATGCCAAATCTGTTTTGCAGGAACAAAATCTGGAAGTCCCTGGGTATCAAATCTGCAAATTCTGTTTCTGGATTCATGGACTGAGTATTTTAATTGATATAAAACTATTTTAATCGATTAAAATCACTTACAGAGAATTCTAGAAAAACTGTCTGCACAATTTTAATCGATTGAAATGTGAATTAATCGATTAAAATGTTCTCTGGAATCTAGTTTAGCTGTTTTAATCGATTAAAATGGATTTATATCAGTTAAAATCATTAAAAGGATAAATTTAACCGATTATTCCTCGTTTAAATCGATTATTATTCTGAGATATTTTTTTTTTCAAAAATTGATTAATCGATTGGATATCAAATTAATCGATTAAAATGTTACTTCCAATGCTGAATTAATTGTGTATTTCAACTCTGTACTGCAACTATACTAATTTTTCTTTCAGGCAAAACAAACTGAAGATCTCTGGTACCTTGACGAGTGGTTGTTCCAAACACATGACAAATGATATTACAAAATTTTACAACTTAAAACTAAAGAATGGTGGGACTGTTGTCTATGGGGATAATAACAAAGGAAGAATCCTTGGAATAGGTGACATCAAATGCACGAGAATCAGGTATTATTAACAATGTATTATATGTTGAGGGTTTAAAACATAATCTGATTAGTATTAGCCAGCTTTGTGATAAAGGACACAAAGTTGTCTTTGGTCAAAATCAATGTCAAATAATCAAATCAGATTCGAGCAGTGTCGATTCATCGGTAAGAGGATCAACAATATTTACATGTTAGATACTAATTCTGCTAAAAATTGTTGCTTAATCTCTAAAGAGAATGATTCTTGGTTGTGGCATAGGAGGTTAGCTCATATTCATATGAATCATCTTAATAAACTGATTTCTAAAGATATTGTAGTTGGCTTGCCTAAACTTAAGTTTGTGAAAGACAAAGTATGTGATGCATGTCAAAAGGGGAAACAAGTAAGGAATTCTTTTTCACACAAAAATATTGATTCAACTTCTAGACCTCTTGAACTTTTGCACATGGATCTCTTTGGTCCTTCTAGAACTATGAGTTTAGGAGGAAATCTATATGCATTGGTTATAGTAGATGATTACTCAAGATTTACCTGGACATTATTTTTAAAACTAAAATCTAATACTTTCCATTTGTTTAAAAAATTTGCGAAACAAATTCAAAATGAAAAAGGCTATTTCATCTCTTGTATTCAAAGTGATCATGGGGGAGAATTTTCAAACGAAAATTTCAAT